AGACTCGTGACGACGTCGTGGGTTGCCCGGGTGTCCCGGGGGAGGGGGCGGCAGGATGATGACCAGCGGTAGGACAGATGCGGGAGACTAGGGGAGGAGTACAGCTAACACGCTCAAGCACGGATCGTTTTAGGCTCGGGAGGGGTTATGGTTTTTGGGCCTCTCCTTGGGTTTAGATCGGGGTTTCCATTATTTTGGCGAGGCTTGCCGCTGCCACAACGGACCAGCCAACCTCGACACAGCAATCTTGTTGGTGGCATGATGACTGCATGAGGTGGAGGAGGAGAAGCGGGAGGAGTGCCGGGAGGAGGTCGGGGACGGGGAGGGCGCGAGGGTGCGAGCTGCAGTGGTAAAGACTGCTGTTCAACCCTGGTGTTCTGGGACCATGGTTCGGGTTGACCCAAAAGGGGGTCCAGCGACAAGGGGCTGGTGCAATAGATCTGGTGCAGTAAATGTGTGGGGTTGCGATACATTTGAGGCGTGCAATACATTCCCGGGCGCATTCTCACGCGAAATACATTTGTCTCAATACAGTGCATGCACTTCTCCGGCGCAATACATTTGCAATCGCTCCAACTCTATATTGCACCACCCCTTTTCAGCTGGACCCCCTTTTGGGTCGACCAAATTGATAAGAGACACGCAAACCTGCCAGCGTCGGCTCCTCTTGGGCCGTGCGAGTGTCCGGCCGATCTCTGGTCTTGACACGCGTGCTCCCGAACGTTTGACCTGGGACAGTCTTGAGCGCTGCTGGGCTATCCTGGGTTTCTCCTGAAGTCCTCTTAGCAGGAAGAGAACGAGCCCCTGAGGAAGACGGTCCTAGAAATTGTCGCCCTGCGGGCCTTGCGAGAGTCGCACTAGTGTTCGAGGATGAACTAGTCCCAGGGACAACCACAGGGTCTAGGACCCGTTTCCCTCAGGACCCCTTCCTTTCATGGCGATGTTCTTGGATGTTGTTGGGGGATGTTGGTGCCTTGCTGGGCCTTCTCTGCAGTTCCTTGGGGCTCTTTAAGTGGTTAGCGGGGGCCCTCTCGGAACTCTTTCTTTGAGGATGTTTGAGGGCCTCCTGGAAGCCTGTCGGAGACGTTCCGAGGCTCTCTGTGGGGCCGTTGGGGAGCCAGTTGGGGCAAGGTTGGGCGAATCCCGAGCCCATGCTGGGCTTCCTTAACGCCCTCTGCAGCCACCTCGAGCCGTCGCAAGGCCTTGTGAGACCCATCTGAAGGAGTAAAGGGCATACCACCAAAACTATTGCATACCATGTTTTTCGTCAACCAGGGCATCTTCGGGGCTTCCTTGGAAGGCTCAGGATCATTTCAAAACGATAGTGGGACGAGCGGGGACCATAGCGGAGTTCATCTTGGCGCATCTTGTACCATATCGCGAGGTCTTGATGGTTATGTTGACCGATCTTGAGCTCCACTGGGTGTGCACCTGTCTATAGACCAGCGGGCAACATTGAAAGCATATACGGCTTTGTAAGCGCGTCGGTGAGCTCGCCGCCTCCTTTACGCTCCCTCGTCCAGAACTTTGGCCCCACTGGAGGGGGCAACAGATTCAGGGGGACAGCCAAGCACCTCACACGTCTTGCTGCGTCGTTCCTCTCCCTCCTCCTGATCTCATTCCCCCTTTCCTTCCTCCCAAGTTCCACACGTTTTGCCGCGTCCTTCCTTTCCCTCCTCCTATTCCCCCCACCCCCCGTGCCCTCCCCACCCATCTCTCCTCCCGTCCCCTTCCGCCCCACTCCCCCCATTCAGATCCGCAGCTCTGCTGCGACGCCCTCGAGGATCCCCCCATCGGCCCGCCCCGTGTGCCAGCACGAGCTTGCCCGGCGTCTGAGGCCGTTTGGGTTTCAGGCGCTCGGCCGTTTCGGGATAACGGTAGGGGCACTGAGGCCGGCCCTTTGGGCCTGCGCCTTGGACGCCGCGCCGCGGCGGAGACGAGGAGCAGATCTCCCCGTCGCAGGCCATGCCAGCGCGCAGGAGGGGGCAGTCGGGGCCGAGGCGGAAGACCGCGGAGGAGGGGCGAGAGCGAGTGGCGTCGCTCCATACGACCTCTCGGGACGGGCCGGGCCGTCGGGCGGGCAGGCCCCCCCTCTCGCCGAGCTCGGGGACGGGAGACTAGAACTGGGAAGAGGTCCGCGAAGGGCACGTAGACGCGAAGGTCACGTCCAGGGCGAAGCTGCCGATTTTGGTCAGAGAGGGCGACGGCACGGCCAGGTTTAAGGCGTTCACGTCGTCGCGCAGAACTCGGCCACGCGCCACTGCTGCAAGGACGAGTCTGGCATGATCTCCTCTTTCCGCTCAGGCCTGTGAGGACGGTGAGACGCCATGCTTCCAGAGCCTCCGCCCGATCGCCGCACCCGAGCACGTCGCCGAGTCCGTGGGTGACAAGTTTCCACGGACGCTCGTGCGATATCTCGGCCACGGCACCCCGGATCAGGAGGGCACCTTGACGGCGCTGAGAGCGGCGGAGCTGGCGCCCGCCGCTCGCACCAGGAACGGGGAGAAGATCCCCCTGGGCGGATTGTGGCAGATCGAGCTCGGGGCGGCCACCGGCGGCATCGACGCAGGCAGCCGGGGAGCGGATCGTCCGCGCCTGTTGCGAGGATTCGCGCTTTTCCCAAGACTGGTTCACGGGCCATTGCCGCGCCTTCGGCCCGCCCGCGGATTCTCCCATCCTGGGCCTGGCGGACCGCGACAAGGTGCTCGCCTGCCTGCCCCTTGTCTTCGACGTCTTGGACACTCAAAGGGCAAGCCAAAAGGCAGGGCGGGCAGGGAGACGGAGCAGCTGGCGAGGCCGTGGGGGCGGGCGCACGAGCGCCAGCAGGTGGCCGGTCGAAGAGGCGCGGCGGGGCTCGACGAGGCGTTCGGGCCACGGCAGCGGCGCCGCCCCCTGCGACACTTCGGGGCGGGAGCGCCGCCGACGCACAGAGAGAGTGGCCGCCGCGCAACCTGCGGCAGCGGGCGATGGCAGGGCCACGGCGCGCCATGCCCCCAGGCCCCAGGTGATCGAGAGGCGCCGGCGGCGCATGGGGACGCGCTCGCATGCGCGACGCGGGGCGGCAGGCGGCCCTGCGGGACAGGGGACCTCGCCGGGGGTGGGCCCGGGGCGCGCCGAGGGCAGCGATCGCCCAGTGCTCGGGCCGACGCCAGGCTCTGGTCCAGGAGGGCCATGCACGGCTGACGGGCCCCTCGCCCCTTGCACCTCGCAGCCTTGCGGGGGCCCTGACGACCGGCGGCGGCCACCCCGCCGCGAAGGCGCCCGCCCGCGCGCGCGCCCTCCGGGTCCCCATTTCCGCCGCGGGCGGGGGGGGCGCTTCAACGGGGGGTGCGCCTTCGCGGAAGGGATGGGTCCGATGGGAGGTCGGCAGGGTTTCGGGGCCGCGCTTGCCTGCCTTTCCGTCTTTCTGGTCGTCGCGCAGTCGGGACTGCGAGATCGTCGCGCGACCCTGGCTACAGCTGCATCCGTGCGAGCATGTCTA